GTGAGGTAGGTATGTGGGGGCGTGTTAGAACGAGCCGTTTTAGGGGGGCGTGGCAGAGTCTTAACTTTGATATCTCTTTGGATTTGAGCCTTTAGTCTTTGCAACTTTACAGATCTTCTTTATGCACCAATAGCTTGTAACACTCCAAAGAGAAAGGAAAAATTGAAATCGCATCATATGACTCCTTTAATAGTAATGGGTTGAGAAATGCTGACAAAAAGTGCCAAATAAATAAATACATACATACATAAATTATGGTAGCATTATAGATTTCATCAATAAATATAAAATATTTTTTTCCCCCCATTACATATATCTCTATTGACTGTTCAAATGCGGAGTTTTGCGCATCGTGTGTGTGCGAGCGAGCGAGCGAGCGAGAGAGAGAGAGAGATAGAGCGAGAGAGAGAGCGAGAGAGCGTGAGAGAGAGAGAGAGAGAGAGCGAGAGAGAGAGAGCGTGAGAGAGAGCGAGAGAGAGCGAGAGGGGGGGGGGTCACATCACAAACACATACCAGCTTCATCACTGTGTCTGTCACGCGACTCTATTCCCCTTTCGGGCTCTCGCTTTACATTTATTTTGAAAGATGTATTCTGTTACACCAAATACACAAAATAATGATCTTTAAAAAAGCATCATATGACCCCTTTAAAATCAATCTGCAATAGTCTTAATCCATTGAACCTGACATGGTCAAAATAAAGTCATCAGAAACATCAACCAGGCAATTCCCCTGCAGAATTCTCTCGACTGGATGTTATCCCAACTTCTAAAAACATTTCAAGTTGGTGCTTTGGTGGTGATGACTATATGATTATTGCCTATGATGTCAGGTTCAAGTGTTGGATTTTGCTGAATTAGGTAAGACAGTAGTAGTTATTTATTATTCATGTTGGATGCCATGCGAATGGAAAACCAAAGCACGCCTACGGTATATGCTCTTGAGCCATTTAAATAATTATCAATATTACGTAAGTTTGGCCTGCTGGTATGTGAGAGTGGCTCTCTAAATGGGTGTTTCTACAGTCCTAATGTCAAAATTGTTATGCAGTCAGATGTGCACACTGAATAAATTTCCTTTATTAAAAAAATGAGTTATTACTCATTGTTATTCATTACACTGATTTCTAAAAGGCACATTTGAAAAAACACCTTTTGGTCA